CTAGACTGAAGAACAAAAAACGACAGCAACTTGTCTGTTCCCCTTCCCCCAATTCCCCAGCACTGTTCCCCTCCCCCCAATTACCCAATAAAAAAAATCTTTAAAAAAAAAAACAAAAAACATGCATTCATATTGATATCTCTAATTCCAGCCAATGCCACAGGAGCGTTCTGGTTTTCTCCCTTTTCCATGTTTGTAACTCCCTTCTCTGACAGTGAGAAATGTGGCTCCCCTTACCCTCAGTATCTTTACTTATTTGATGAACCCTCTTGTATGTAACCAAAATTCTGTTGCTGCCACTGCCCCTCACCTCACTGTACATGTGCCCTCTTCACCCCCACTCAGACTCCAGCACCCCCCACATTGTGCTTCTGCCACTGTCTGCTCCCCTGCCCAGCACAGGTACCCTCCTCACCCTTTTTGGGTTCCAACATCCCACACTGGGGTGATACTACCATTGCCATCACCCTCGCTACAACTGGGGCACCCTTTTCAGTCTGCACAGGTTCTGACACTGTTCAGAGATTCCCAGATGCCCTCCTAACCTCACTTGGTCTCCAACGTCCCATGCTGTGTTGCCATAGCTACCGCTACCCCTGCACCCAGTGCAGAAACCTTAGCCACCCTTTTAGGGCTCTCATACCCTGTACTGGGCCACCTCCCTGCTCTTCCCCAAGTAGAAGGTCACACCCCACCAGGCTTCAACACTCCATGTGGCCACCCCGTCGTGCAGAAACACTCCCTTCCCTCCAAGACCCCAACACGCTACACCAGTGGTTCTCAACCTGTGGGTTGCGACCCCTTTGGGGGTCGAATGACCCTTTCACAGGGACCGCCGGGTACTCATATGTGGGCGTATCTGCATGTGGGCCTGGAGACGGATAGAGGAGCGGTGTCTCGATTCCTAAGACCATCGAAAATATGTGTTTTCCGATGGTCTTAGGCGACCCCTGTGAAAGGTTGAGAACCGCTGCTCTACACCCTCCTGCATGGACGCCATCTTGGAAGCCAACATGCCCATTCTTACTCTAGACAGAGTAGAGCATCAGCTTTATGCGGCAGCTCTACGTAAATATAAAGTCTCCAGAAACATCCAGCAAGTACCAGGTACCCGTGTCTTAGGAATTGGAAAGACCCTCAGAGGCCATTTAGCCCTAACTTGATGCATAACTTTTCACTATAATTCCTTAATGAAAAGTTTTCTGATTTGTAATAGAAAAATAAAACTTACAGTCCATTTCATTTTCAAATAGCTTTAATAGTTAAGGTGGTTTTCCTGCTTGTCTTGTGAGTTTGACTGGAACTCTTTCTCCTGTTTCAGCATACAAGTTTAATTACAGAACTAGTTTGCGGTGAGCTGAGGGTGCTCCCTCTATGTGATCTTCCATCACTAGGTCATCCCTCTGAAAGTGAATGCTTTTACAGAACAAAAGTTGTCGAGGCTCAGAGCTGGGAGTAGAATCCAAGGGTCTGTTTCAGTGTCTAGAAAGAACATATTTGGCTATAAATATTCAGCGTATTGTTCAATAAATTATAATTTAGGGGGAAATTACCCAGCATGAGAGGAACCAGTCTGTGTCCCTAATCCCAGCTGTCACCCTGAAGAGTTGCTGTTTCATGCCTTTCTTATCTGCACTTACCTTTACCCGGGCCTCTGGGTCTGAACTACTGGCCAGGCAGCGCTATCATACAGACCGTTCTGCAGTGAGGAGGTGATCTATATTTGTGCTGTCAGGTACCCACTAGCCACATATGGCTACTGAGCACTTGAAATGTGGCTAATGTGACTGACTAACTGAATTTTAAATTTATTTAATTTTAATTGATGTAAATTTAAATGGCCTGATGTGGCTAATTGCTATTGGATAGTTGGATAGTGAAGTTCTAGGGAATCTTTTTTTTTTTCTTTTAAAGATTTTTATTGTGGGGATGGGAACAGTGCTGGGGAATTGGGGAAGGGGAACAGACAAGTTGCTGTC